ATATCCCTCTCCCCTTCAGCAGATACTGGTATGTGCTTATGCAACCCTGATGAAGGCTATTATGACTTGCATTACTTTAGCAGAGATCTTGTATAAGTGGAGCGAAGCTCTGATAATAGTGCCTCACCTAATTTAATGCATCGCTGTCCTTCCCCCACAGCCTTTTAATTGCAACAAGAAAATCCCCTGACTGAGCATTAGGAACAACTATTTTTTTCTGTTACTCAAGCATTTCCAGAGTGTGTCCTTGTAGCTAGACTATCCCAGCAGTCTGCTTTCGAGACATGGGTTCCCCTAGTTGAGGAACCGGTAAATGCATTTGATTTAGGGTGTATGTGAGGTTTTCGCCTTGCAAGACTCGAATTGGAATTGCAGCATCAGATGCATCCAAACCGATGTCTGGGAAACTCTAACGTTTCCTGTAAATTTCACTAAAATCTTATCAATAACCGATAAGAGTGACTATAAACATTTCCGAGCACAACTGGAATTGAGTGTATGCTGGGAAGCAACCAGGTGGTTGCACAAGCACACGTTTGCCAGTGTGACTACATGAATGACGATGGTCGGTATCAGAGAGTTGAGGCTTTGAGCTTTTACCCCACTTTAAGGGGGCCATTATGGTACAGAAATATCAATCTGTCAGATTGTGGATGCCACCAAAAAGTAAACTATAAATATTAAGAGGGGAGGGAGAGATTATTTTCAAGTAACATAAAACTACAAAAAAAAAGAAAACAAAAAAAAGTATTCCAGAAAAAAAATATTTAAAAACAAAAACTAAACAAAAAAAGTCTTCCAAGAAAATGTAGCTGTATGAGTGAAATGGTCTAAGAAAGTTTACTTGTGTTTTTTTTTTTTTTTATACGTTAATGGTTGACTCCAGTGCAGAGTGTGCCACACTGATGTTTCAAACGTTGTTGAGCTTTGTTTAACTTTTTATTGAAAGAATATAATTTTTATGCAGGTGCTGTTCAAGTGGAACGTTTTCCTTTTTTATAGTTTTGTTACTTTATTAATGTTGATTTATATGCTGTAAAGAGTGAGAAGAGTGTATGCGAATGTGACTGGAGTTAGGGGGAGAAAGGAAGGAAAAAAGAAAGGGCGTCATATAGTCTGTTCAGATCTGATGTTTTACTGTTTTTGTTCTTGCTTTGGAAATGACTTCAGGGTTGTTTAAACTCCCCTTTTCTCTCAGAAATTATTGGTGGCTTGATCGTTTTAGTAAGACGCATCAATTTTAGCCAAAGTGCGCTCGTTTCTAAAATCGAATGCACTGAGGTATCTGGTAGTGCTGATCTTGAATCAGCTTTAGCCTTTCCTATGCCAATTCATAAGACACAGCATACCTGGTAGAGCTGAGCACAGACCATCATTCACTCTCCGAGGTGCATAAAGCATTTGAGTCCAGACGTCTGGATTCATATTGAGTCTTTATAAATTCTGCAAGCATTAGTGTCACCAATGGGAATTCAAATCACCCAAGCATACGTTGAATGTTTTCAGAGTGTCGCCTGTTCTATCGTGTTGCTCTGAGATGCTTCGAGAACCCTAATGGCAGTCCTTGATTTTGAAGGGCCCATTGTGCTGATTATTATGACACTGATTGTAACCTTTGTTTTGTTTTTTTTCTTTCTTTCTTTAAGAATCTTTTTACAGATGCATCTTTGTGTTTTGTTTTTTTTATGTCTTATAGTAAGACTTGAATTGTATGTGCAGAAGTTTCCTCATGTTTTGTTCAGGAAACTTCTTTTGCTACAATGTACAAATGGCAAACAAAAATGTTCATAAGCTGAGATTTAAAGCAATCTTTGGTCTGGAAAGTACCATTTCCACCACTTCTGTTCAGTATTTTATCTTTCTCCTTGGCTTTGGTATATTGCAGAAATCCCAAGTGTTTTGGGTTTGTTTTTTTCTGAGGAGTCTGTGGCGCTTGGCTGGTCCTCTAAAGTCCCTGTGCCTCTGACAAAAGATTCACCACTCTTTTACCCATATTATAGTTATGGGTTGCCTTCTATTAACATCTGTCTTGGATTCTCAAAAAGGATTTTTTTTGTGTAAATTATCATAATATGAAGTTTCTTTTGTTTTCTTTTCCCCAACTCAAAGATTATTGGGATAATAATATTCAATAGTATACTGATAATAGTATTCAGGTGCACTTTTATATATATATATATATATATTTCATAATATGTTGTTTTCTTTTCCCCAACTCAAAGATTATTGGGATAATAATATTCAATAGTATACTGATTATACTGATAAGGTGCACTTTTATATATATATATATATATAT